ACTGTCAATGTAAAACAATAAACATAACTATGACAAGTATCTCAAAAACATGTTTCAGAAACTCATTCCTAAACTTTAGGCCCAACTTTTGAAGCTCACAGAATTCATGTTCTTAATAAAAATCTCTTTAATAATATTTCTATATATTTGAAGAATATAATGTTATATATCTGAAGGATAACTATATTATGATACTCATAAATTCAAATAGGTATGCATAGAAATCTAAAGGAAACATCAGTCAGTCAATCAGCAAACACTTATCAAGTGCTTTCAGGTAAAGCTTATTAAAGACGACTCTGGCTAGAATCTTGCCAGTAACGGTTAAGAGAGAGGCAGGATACGCCCCTCAATCAGTCCCCCCCCCCGCCCCCCGGCCTCTCACCCTGTGATTGTCATAAGACAATCTATTTCCTTTACCTTTATAGAGATGGACAATGGAGGCATCCTTGAACTCCTGGGGGATAACCTCCTCTTGCCATATAACCTGGAAAATTTCAGTCAACTTTTGTATGAGCCATGGAACACCCTACCACCCCACCTTGTAAATCTCAGCCAGAAAAAAATCAGCACCAGATGCTTTGCCACAAGTTCTACCTGTGTTAGAACATTCCGAGCTTGTATTGGTCTGATCAACCACAGTCAGACACACTGTACCCTGACTCCAACAGAGTGATGTCATTTTGATCCTCTTTGAGAATGGACAGCCAACCAACCCACCAACCAGTCAACTGCTTACTAAGAGCCAAGCACTGGCTAATTTCCATTGTGTGGGGATACAAAGAAAGGCATACACACTGTCCTTGCCCTCAAGGAGATCACATTCTAATGAGGTAGACAGCATGTAAACAACTATGTATATACAAAATATATACATTCTAGGACCAAGCAGAGCAAGTTTTTTTTCCTCTTCCAAATAACATCCCTGTAGATATTTGAAAGCAGATAGCATGTCATCTTCTTAAGTTTTCTATCCTCTAGACTAAGTGTCCCCAGTTTCTTCAGATAGTCTTTCATATACATCGACTTGAGGCCCTTCACCATCCTTCTTCCCCTCTGTATGCTCTCTAGCTTTGATTTTATTTGTATTCCCAGCACTTAGCACAGTGCCTGGCATATAGTAAGCCCTTAATAAATGCTTTCTAATTTTACTTAACAACTATTCTGTGATGTAGGTACTAACAGTATTATTATTCCCATTTTACAGAGGGGAAAACTGCAGCTTGGAGAAGGACTTACTTATAGTCATTTCAGTCATAAATATCAGAGGCAGGCCTTGAACCCTGATGTTCTGGCCTTAAAGTCCAAAACATTTTATTCAAGTGAGACATTATTTATCACTAAGAGAAATCAGAGAAGAGAACGTAATTTGCAAACCAGACCAGTGAATCTGATTCATTACTGGAAAATTCTAGAATGTATTATTAAATGAATGGTTAGTTAACATCTTGAAAAGAAGAGGGATCATGAAAAGCCATCATCATGGCTTTATCATATATATGTCATACCAGAATAATCCTATTTCTTCTTCCTTTTTTAAATAAAATTACTAGACTAAAAGATCTCAGCTTAACATTTCACAAAAATTCTCATGATATTCTTGTAGAAAAAATGGAGAGATGTGAGCTAGCCAATAGCAGAATGAGGTAGATTGGGAATCATTTGAATGTGAAACAAAGTGTAGTCCCTAATGGTTTAACATCTGCTTGGAAAAAACTCCAGTGGAATGCTTTGAAGAATTATGCTTGGCCCTTTACTGTTTAGTATTTTTATCAATGATTAAGGGATAGGAGTTATTTTCACCAAGTTATTTGCCTTTGACACAAACATGGTAGGGATAGCTAAGATGGTATGGTGGAGTCAGGATTCAAAGGACAGGATTCCATAGCTGAAAAATGACAGAATTATGGAGTTGGAATGAACCTTAACAATCATCTAGTCCACTCCACTCATTTTCACAGTGTAGGAAACTGAAGACCAGAAAGGGGAAGGGAGAGCATAACAGAAGGTCTTGACAGACTGGGCCAGTAGGCCATGTCTAATAAAATGAAATTTAATAGGGACAAATGTAAAGACTTACATTTAGATTCAAAAAATTAACTTCAGTAGTGCAAGATATAGAAGCAGCTACATAAAACACATTATCTTTCCTCCAGCCATCATCCTCACCTCTTCATGGACTTTAATAGGTGAGCTACTGATTCAATTCCTGGTCAAATCCAAACCAAGCCACCTTTCTGCTTTCCAGCACCCCTTCTCTGTTGTCTCCCACTATTAGAATGTATACTCCTTGAGGCAAAGAGATATCTTGCTTGGTTATATCTATGTCTTTTTTTTTCTTTTCTTTTTTTTGTAGGCAATGGGGTTAAGTGACCTGCCCAAGGTTACACAGCTAGTAAGTGTCAAGTGTCTGAAGCTGGATTTGAACTCAGGTCTTCCTGACTTCAGGGCTGGTGCTCTATTCAGTGTGCCATCTAGCTGCCCCTGTTATATCTATGTCTTCAGTGCTTAGCACAATTCCTGCCACACAGTGAGTGGTCAGTCAGTCAATAAGCATTTATTAAGTACCTACTATATGCCAGGCATTGTGCTAAGTAGTAAGGATATTGAAAAAAAAGGCAAAAGACAGTCCCTTTCCTCAAGAAGTTCACCATCTAATTCATTAAGTGCTTAAAAATGCTCTATTTATCCATCTAGATATCATTTGGTCTGAAAAAGTTCAGGGATTTTTAGAGAACTGTATGCTAAATGAGTCAACAGTGGGAGATGATAGATAAGAAAGCTAATGAATCTTGGACTGCATTAAGAAAAGCACAGGGTTTAGGAATAAACAGGTGATCGTTCTGGTGAGCTCTGCCCTAATCAGACACCATCTGTTTTCAGTTATAGGTGCCATGTTTTAAGAAGAACACTGTTAAGCTAGAGAGCATACAGAGGGGAAGAAGGATGGGGAAGGGCTCAAGTCGATGTATATGAAAGACTATCTGAAGAAACTGGGGACACTTAGTCTAGAGGATAGAAAACTTAAGAGGATGACATGCTATCTGCTTTCAAATATCTACAGGGATGTTATTTGGAAGAGGAAAAAAAACTTGCTCTGCTTGGTCCTAGAATGTTATATGTTTCAAAGAGCCTTATTTAGGCTCTTTGGGGAAAAAAATTCTTTAAAATTATAGCTATTCAAAAGTAAAATGGGCTGTTTTGGGAGGCAGAGCAGTCCCATTCACTGGGACAAAGGCTTGGAACATTATGAGGTCTTCTAAATGAGATACAAATTGCTCAAAAGTGTTCAGCCGTAGCAAAAACCATATGGATACAAAAGGCTTATTTCAAATCCATAGTTAAGTGGACAATCTATATGTATGGCTTTGTCCACAGACACACATAATACACATATTCACTCATACACACACGTATACATACATATACATACAAATATATATATCATATGTGTAAAAAAATGCAATTATCTTGGACAGCCCTTGCAGAAAGACTGAGCTATATGGGATACTTAATGACCCTAAGTTGCTTCCTTTCCTTGAAACAAAGACTTATCTTTTTTATACCTATATTTTTTTTTCACTGATGTTACATCACTATGAAGGTAGGACTACAACATTCTCTCAAGAATTAGAGCTGTAGGTTTCTCAAAGGGCAATGAGCAGGTACATCATAGGCATGAGGAGCTACAATAACTGGTGTAAAATATATTACTAAAGAAATGCTTAACTGGAAAAGAAAAATTAATTGTAATATATTGTTCAGAGAGTGAGAAACAGTAGGACCATTATGCTTCATTGCAGTGGTAAGAGATCCAGAGAAGGGTCTCCAGTATGGTGGGTAGACACCCCCTGAAAGATTTCTGGGAGGACATGGACAAGAGTAACACACGATGAAAAGGCATGGATGAAATCAGAGAGGCATCAAAATATCACCCTTTAAAAATGTTAGAACTCCACAATAATGCAGTTGTTAAAAGGAAAAAAATACTTGAATTAAGATTTTCCAAGGCACAGTGAGACAGATGAGTTAACTATATCCTTGGAGGATGAGAGAGGAAAAGGAGATGGGATGATACTGATTTAATCAATGGTAAGGAATAAGAACTCTGAAGGTGGATGAATGGAAGGTGGAATTCATTTTCTAAATGAATGAATGGATGGATGAAAAAAGCAGTTATTGAGTGCTTACTATGTGTTAGGTACTATGCTAATAAGCACTGAGAATATAAAAAAAATGAGGCAGTCTCTACCCATAAGGAGCTTAATGGGAGGAAACAATACATATTGGTAAATGGCTGCTAGGGAAGGGTGTTGGGCTGGGCAGAGGTGGGAAACCTGAGGCCTTGAGGCCTCACAGGCCTTCTAGGTCCTCAGGTGCAGCACTTTGACTGAGTCCAAATTTTACAGAACAAATCCTTTTATTAAGGGGATTTGTACTGTGAAGTTCCCCACCTGGCCTGGGGAGTCAAAAAGATAGTTAATCCACAGGGCATCTGACTGATGTCTCCTTTTCTGAAACAATAGTAGGACTGATGTGATTAAAGTGCACAGAGCAAGAGGTAGAAAGCAGCATCAGGGAGAACAGTGTGGATGGCAAAAGGGGCAGATGGCAAGATGGCCTAGGACTAGTTCAATTATTACATGGAATGTGAATCATGGTTTGTTGGTCTGAGGCCAATACAACAGGCCAACAAGTTTGCATTTACTCATTAATCAAGATAAGCTTAGCCCCTGTGGCCTTTAGGGAGATGGAGAGACTTGTTCAAGCTCATGGTAAATTTCTAGAAGAAGAAACTAGGCTTTCTGATGACCAGTGAGGTGCTAGTTCCCATCATATTTTGCTCTCCTTTTTTCTTTTAGGTGAGGGGCTTTATAACAGAAACCTATTCTACAATGAGAATAGTATACTTAAAAATATCAAATTAGTTATGTTTTTAACAGTGCATTCACATAGAATATAATGTTCTATCCCCTGAGAAGAAAAACAAAACCCAAGGATAGAGTTAAATTAAATATATTTGTCAGAAATAAATTCAATTAATCACATTTAGCATTTCCTCCCAACATAAACATTTAAAGCTGACCTCTACTGGCTTTGTGATTCACTTGTATTCCTAGGCATCACTCTATTTGCTTGGTGCACTTTCATGTGAATCATCTGCCTCATGTTTTTTCCACAAAAATTTCTCATTTGATTTCCAAAGAGACATTTCAAGCTCTTCATTTCTTTTAGTGGATGTAGCAAGGGGTGCTTTTTCACACAACATCTCTATTACTGCCAAGTCGGTGAATTTACTAAGACTGTCATCATTCTGCTCATTCAATATGTCCCAGAAATCCCTTGGCCGCTGCTTTGCTTTTTCCACAGGCTTTGAAAGAGCTTTCCTTGGCAACTGTGTAGGACTGTTCCCGTGACTTTTAAAGAGGTCATCAAGAATAGAAGTGTCACCAAGTAAGTCTACCACAGTGTTGTCCTCTAACGCTTGGTTTTCTATCTTTTTGTTTTCAGATTTCAAAAGAGGTTCGCTTCTTGAACAGTCTGTTCTTGTAAAGTCCTGTTGGTCCTTAATAGTATTTACTAACATTCTCTTACATGTTTCAGATTTACTGTTCAAGGAATTGGATACCGAAGTATCTCTGAATGCTTGGCTCTTTTTCCCACTGACAATCTCTTGGGTAAAAACACCAGGTAGTTCTTTAGTTTCTGCATTATTAGACAAAACTTCTCCACAGGAATCATCATTTTGAAACTTATTTACTTTTCCTTTATGTTTTTTTGGACTGCAAATTTGTACAGTCCCACTTGTAGAAACTTTAATTGCTGAAGGATCAGAATCTGACAGGTTTTTTTTCACCAGGGATTTTTTCTTTCTAGATTTAGTCTTAACATTTTCTCCTTTCTCATAGTTAGATTTGATGACTTCTGAATCATGATCTGCAAAAAAATCTTCTACCTCTGGATACCTGGAAGTATAGAAATCTCTTAGCATTTTCTGGCGTTCTTCTGATGTAGCACTTGTTATATGTCTAGCAAATTCTTCCACAGAAGACGAACTGAAGAAAGAAGCCATTTCTTCAAACTGTTTCCTGTAGTATTAATGAACAAACCAGTGATTATTCTTCCTTTTCTTTTACTTTTAAAGGGAGACACAGCCATCATAATGTATAATTTAGCAAAAGGAATGTGATCTTTTCAATTTAATCCACAAGGTCTAAATTCTGCAATAAATAGGTACTTTTTTAATTGACAGAAGAATATCAAATAGTATCATAGCTACAGTCAAAGGGTAACCTCTCCTTATAGTCAATGGAAAAAAAAGTCTTGATAGCAAATATTCCCAAAGAATTATGTGCTTTCACCATATTATTCACATCAGTAGGCAATTTCTGACCTGAGAATAATTTGCATTTTTTTTTATATATTTTAAAGCTATACTATATTTAAGTCTCGGATAGCTAAGTGACACAGTAGATGGAGTGTCAGGCCTGGAGTCAGAAAGACTCATCTCCCTGACTTCAAATCTGGCTTCAGACACTTACTAGCTGTGTGACCCTGAACAACTTGCTTAACTGCTTGCCTCAGTTTCCTCATCTGTAAAAATGAGCCAAAGAAGGAGATGGCAGACCACTCCAGTATCTCTGCCAAGAAAATCCCAAATCAGGTCACAAAGAATTGGACACAACTGAAAAGTCACTGAAAAACAAAAAATATTTCAGCCCTAAGAAATACAATGGTTAAAATTCCAGAGGCACTAAGCTTAGTTAGTCTTAATGAATAAAATGAAAAACATTTTGGGGAAAAGATTTTAATTTTATCTCTTTCAAGTGTCATAAACGCACACTGTTACTTCGACACATTTATTGATAACCTTAGATATGAGGTGTTTAAGCAATCTACCACTTATGAAATTCTTTTACCTAATTTATCAAAGAGAACTAAACTCAAACAATCAAAAATGCTACTAGCTGGAGTAAGAATTCCAAGAAAAGCACCTGTAAAATATATCTCAAAAATCATCATCATCCATGATACTAATGAGATATACTTATATTTATGTATGGGCACATAACTTCCCATCAGAAGCAAGTTTTATGGTTTCCTGTTCTCTTGATCGCAATTCCAATTCCATTTTCACAAGTACATCCACAAGTACATCCACTTTTGCTTACTTATCTTTAGTCTCTGTATCAGAAAAATTTCTGGTACATGTGGTAGTATATCAGTATATCAGTATATTCTTCTACAATTCTTAAAACACAGCTGCTGCTTTCCCCAAGCTATCTCAGTCACTTGCACTTTATCAGAATATTTACAAGGCAGATGCAAGCTTCCAAATTTCCATTCTGGACACTAGCAGCGCTCTTACTAGAGATTCAAAGCAAGGAAGCAAATAAGGCCTTAAAAGGATCTATTTTTCATTTCACAAAGCAAATGGAGGTTAAGATTATTTTGTTTATTGACCATATCCAAATCCATTTTCATGGACTTTTTAATAAATATTTGTGCTTGTGAAGATTAAGTGTTTAATTGGCATGATTAAGTGGCAAGGTTAGAGGCTGATGTCTTTATTTATCCACAAACTTAGTATTGTCTCCATAGCTGCTAAATAAGCTTCACATTTACTATGCCAAAAAGACGACCTCAGCTATAACTTGACAGTTCTACTATCTCTAGAATAAGAAATGATCCTATTTTTTCTGGAGTTTAGTATACATGCTCATTGTATATGATACTGCATTCTACAGAATGAGTTATGATGAAGAATTTAGTTTCATTTCTGCCTTTATCTGAATGAGCCACAAGCCACAATCAGGGTGTTAGTGTCTTAAGTCTGGAAGGAACATTAGTTCTTCCAGGTTACCACTATGACGGTATCTCAAGAGCCTCTTAAACAAAGAGACTGAAGCTAGCTAACTCTAGAGTCATAGGACTTAATGCTGGAACCTTGGAGTTAGTTTACTTGAACAACTCAATTTAAGCCCCAAGAGGTGAAATAACTTGACTTAGCCCAAATAGGGTCTAACTAGCAGGGATTCAATGCTTTGACCCTAAATCCAAGGCTCCCTCCCCTAGCCAAATGTGCTCTGCCTGTATGCCTCTTTCTGAAGCAAAGTAAATTAGTAGAGGTGAGAAGTCTACCTACAGAGCAGGACAAATTCTCCATCATGGTATTTAGGATGGTAAGGTACCTCAGAGGTCATCTAGTCCAATCCCTTCATTTTATATATTAGGCAACCCAGTACCAAAGGAGTAAAGTGATTTATCACAGGTACCATACTGAGGAAAAGAAGTGGTGGTAGGAAATGTACCAACATCTCTCTTTTTTTGTTTCTTGGTTCCAAATCTCCTTAATAAAGGAAACAAACATTTATCAAGCACCTACTATATGCTAGGCACTGTTCTAAGCACTACAGACATATTATCTCATTTTTATCCTCACAACAACTCTGGGAGGTAGGTGTTATTGTTATCCTCATTTTACAGTTAAGGAAACTGAGGCAGACAGAAGTTAAGTGACTTGCTCAGGGTTACACAGCTTACTAGCTGTGCCTGGGTCTTCCTGACTTCTGGCCCTCTTCTCTGCATCAAGTGTTTATTCCTTGAGTACAGCAAACAGAAGTGGAAGGGCAAACTCTTACTGTGTCTAATATTTTTAAGTGGTGCTGAGCTAAAGGCCCAGGGCTGAAGGGCTAAAAACTTTTATTTCCTCTAGAGCTGAGATGTCAAGCATGTGGCACTTCAAAGTGCTGCCTGGACCAGATTAAAATGCATTTGGGAAATATTTAACAAAATAAATACAAATACAATAAAACAGAGATAACATTAGCAGCCTGTGAGATCCTTGGGCAGCTAGGTGGTACAGTGGATATAGCACAGGGCTTGGATCAGGAAGACCCACCTTCCTGAGTTCAAATCTGGCCTCAGACACATACTAGCTGTGTGACCCTGGGCAAGTCACTTAACCCTACTTGCCTTAGTTCCCCAACTGTAAAATGGGCTAGAGAAGGAAATGGTAAACCATTCCAGTACCCTTGACATGAAGGTCACAATGAGTCAGACATGACTGAAACGACTCAACGAAAAGAAGAGATCCTCGTGTATAGATTAGTGGCCCTTGTTTCTATTTGAGTTTGACACCAATGCCTTAGAGGTTGGTTAAATATACAGTCACCATCCATTGTCAATTATTGCCCAGTACTGACTTAGAAAATATCCAAGAGGTCAACTCCAAATCCATTTCTGAGTAATTGTGCTGAAGAGGCGTGGCCTTGCAAATCTGTCTTTAATCTATAAAACCATCTGCAGTACTATTAGGCAATCTGTTCATATTTGGATGTATTCTACTTAGAACATTAAAAGATTTTTTTAGATCTATTTTAATTTAGATAAAAAATCTATATTATTCTCAAATATTTAGATTTTAGATATAGACAGAACTCAAAGAATCTGGACTTTTTGACAGAAAGTTCTAGATTACTTGACAGGATTTACTCAACATCTTATTTCTTTAATATTCAATTCCATTTTTAGCAACTCACTTTCGGATTCCTTTTGGAGTTTCTCCCATTATGAAGGTGGTCTGGCCCACATGGTGAACTTCTTTCTTTTTATAAACCACAGGATTTGTAATATAAAGGGGAAGCGAGTGGTTTTCTTCACTTAGCTCCTGTCCTTTCTTAAGAATCTTTGTGTATGAATCTTTCTTTCTCCTCTCATATGTCTAAAACAAGAAAAGATACAAATGTTTCAAAAAAGCACATTATATCACTTTTTACTTTGATTTTTCAGGAAGAATTCTATCTTCCCCCCTTCCCCAACAAATGCTTTGGAATATATATTTAACTGAAATCATGTATGATTTCAACCAAGATCTCAACGCAGATAAGACAGGGAGAAAGGGTTCAATGTGATTTAATTTGAAAAAAAAAAAAAAGAACATGGAGGAAATTTCCACAATAAAAAATTTTTAAAGTTATTCATGGGACATATTTTTCAAAAGAAATGTAATATACCAAAATAATGATCTCAGAACAAATTCCAAGACAAATGGGTACTTTGACATTTTTATGAATTTTGAAAAATTCATAAATTGAATTCTCTTACAAAATTTAAAGCATTTTATATTAAACAGTCAAATAAATCTATAAACGATTATTTGATGTGACATCATTTTTATGTAGTAGGTGAGCTGGTAGAATAATTTTTAACTTTTCAGTACCCACTGTGTTTAAAGAATTTGTTAGTGATTGAGGGAAGACAATCACAGTTGGCTGGAATTTGGGGTCACATTTATTTCATGAAGAGGCAGTATGGTATACTATAGAGGTTAGAGAACTAGCCCTGAGATCAGGAATAACTGGATTCCACTTCTACCTGACACATACTGGCTATGTGACCAAATCACTCAATCTCTCATTCTTAAAAGCAAGTCACTGAGACTACATGATACAGAGCAGGTGCCACTTTCTCTTGTTATGGGGAATTTCCTCATCAATTTCAAATCCAGCGCTATCAATTAAGATATAGTTTTTTTTTAAAGGCTTCCATAAAAAAAAATTTCACTTACTGCACATAAGGACATTCTTCTATATGACTATAGGTCCATGAACTGCATAAATTACGTCAACCAATGTGGGATTTCTACTATGTTTAAGCAGTAGAAATGTTCGGGGTGATATGTCCATTTACTTTAAGATGGCAGACTGAACTCTATCTTTGTAAGACATTTATCTTTATAACAGCTTCAGGTACCAATTTTCAGTACCATACTAAATCTGGTCAAAATCAATCATCCCTTTAAAAGCTATTGTTGAATAGAAAGACAAAGGGCAGAATGGGACAAGGAGACTTCAGTTTGGTTAAAAAATGTATTGTTCTCATAATACTTACCCTTTCCTAAAAAAGTATCCTAAATTATTATTTTATATGAAAGGAAATGTTTGATCTTTAAAAATAAGGTTAAAAAAATAAGGTTCAAAGGGATCTGTGCCTCAATATTTTATGATAGAAAATGAATGCCCGCTGAATAAACTTTGAAAGCTCACAATAAAGACTCGTGAAAACTTGTGATCTTAGTGAAACTCCAGCAACAATTAGCCAATACTGAGGAAAAGGTTGGGAATGTTGACATATGAGTGTAGATGTAAAAAGAAGAATAGAAGCAATAATAATTTTTAAAAAAACACATTCTACTCATCTTTAAGTATTTCTCAATTTTATAGCCAGCCAATGTGAATGTTTGTTTGTTTATGTAATTACTCAGGGTCTTTCTGACCTTGGCAATATCACAAAGTTTATGCTTCATATATATAAATTTTCTTTCAATCCCTTCTCTAAATTGTTCAGTATAAACAGACTCTCTTAATTAGGACTATCGACACGTGGATCTTCTCTTCCTGTCAAATCCTCCTGTTTGCAGCCAGAAGTGACTGTCCAACGGTTCATGAATGACAGAACTACAATCAAACATGGGGACAAGTGCTAGTGACAAAAAGGTGGTGGGGTTCTTTGGATCACAGCAATCTGGTAGTATATAGTAAAAGTCACAAAAATGATTATACTGGCTGACCCAATAATTTCATCTTTGGGAATAATATGCTGAAAGTTATAAAAAAAACAAGGTATCTGTACAAAGACTTCCACAACAGCAACAGATGTAATTATAAAAAAAATGGAAATAATTTAAATGTCCAACAAGAATGGAACAGTTAAACAAATTGTGGTACATAATGCAATCAAAAGCTACAGGTTTGAGGCATACAAAGAAATCTGGAAAAACCGGGAAGATCTGGAGAGTTTTAATGAATTGTAAGCTCAATATGAATCAGCAGTATAATGTAGAATCCAAAAAATCTAATGAGCTCTTGAACTATATCATTAGGAGGAAGAGTCATAGCTTCCAGGAATAAAGACAGCATATTGCCTCAGTACTCTGCCCTGGCGAGAACACATCTGGCTTACTGTATTCAGTGATGGGCACTAGATACATTGATAAGACACTGAGGACCTGGAGAGAACCCAGAGGAAAGCAATTAGCATGGTGAAGGTCAGTTTTGAGTCCCTGACACATGAGGGCTGCCTGAAGGAACTGAGAATGCTTAGCTTAGAGAAGTGAAGACTCCAGGGGGTCATGATAGCTGTCTTCAAGTGTTTCAAGGGCTGTCATGTGGAAAAGGGACTAAATTTGTTCCATTTGGCTCCAGTGATCAGCACCAGGAGCAATGAGTAGAAGTTGCAAAGACAAATCTAGGTGTGACATCAGGAAAAAACTTTCTGACTATTAGAGCCACCAAAAGTGGAAATGACTGCCATGGGAAGTGGTGGGATCTCATTCAATGGAGGTCTTCAAATGTGGATGACTACTTGCCAAGTAAATGTGTAACAGTGGGGATTTCTTTCATGTATGGGATGTATAGGTAGTGTAGCAGATAGAGTGCCAGCCCTGGAGCCAGAAAGACCTAAGTTCAAATCTGGCCTCAGACATAGCTGTGTGACCCTGGGCAAGTCATTTAACCCTGTTTGCTCAGTGTCTTCATCTGTCAAATGAGTTGGAGAAGGAAATGACAAACCATTTCAGTATCTTGACCAACAAAATCCCAAATGGAGTCATAAAGAGTTGGACACAACTGAAAACAACTCAATGACGACTTGGACTAGATAGCTACTAAAGTCCCTTCTAACTATAAAATTGATGATTCTGTGTTTCGACAAGGGAGAACTGGAGCATTTTAAGCCTCTTTATTAAATACTTACTAAGTGCCAAGTAATGTACTAAACAGTAGAGAAAAAAAGCAAGACAGTTCCTGCTCTTGCAGGGTGAGGCAGATGGAAATTCATCTTCTTTAACATCATTTTTACTGATAAGACCGTATCTCTTTCTGATGTTGAACTACAGTGTCAAGGACTCCAGTGGTAAGGATGCTAACAAATCTGGGAGAGGCAGGGATTAGGTCTCTACAGGAATTGCTCCCCTGGGACAATCATTGTCAAGATCAGGTTAGATGAATGGCCAGTTGGCTGGAGTGGGGAAGAAGGATGGGACATTACTATTCACTAGGGATGGTTGAGTGGAGGAGTGGTTGCGGTGACAATGGTTTGGCCTAGCTGGCCAATAGCACTGGATTTGTAATCAGAGTCCTAGGCTCAAATCTAGATTCTATCACCTGTGTGACAACTCCTTTAACTTCTCTCAAGTTCAATATCCTTAGTAAAATTAGGATTGGGACTAGGTGATCTCTAAGGACCTTTGCACCTCTAAATCTAGAATTCTATGATTCCTCTTACCTTGAAACATTTGACTGAACAAATATTAACTAGGTACCTACTATGTGCAAGGCACTATAGCAAATATTGGAGATACAAAGACAAACATGAAAAGCAGTTCCTCCACTCTAGGGATTTACATTCTACTGAGGCATAAAACATGTCAACAGATAAAGACAGTATAATTGGAGGAAGGAGAAAGCACTAAGATTTTATGGAGGAGGAGGCATCTGAGTAGTCATGAATTAAGCTGAGGATGCTAAGATAAGCAGGGAATACATTGCAGGCATGGAGGATAAATGCACAGAGCTAGGAGATTGAGTGCTGAGTTCTGAAAAAAGCAAATGTGCTAATCTGGTTAGAAAATCAAGAGTGTAACAGAAAGTATGGTCAGGTAAGCATGGAAAGGTAGGCCGGAGTCAGAATGGGAAGGGTTTTAAATGCCAAGCTGATGTCTTTCTATTTTATTCTTGAGAGACTAGGGAGCTACTGAAGATTCTTAAGCAGGGATATGACATGATCAGATCTAATCTTTATGATATTTTGGCAGCTATGTGGATGAAAGATTAGAAAAGAAGCAGGGAGACCAATGAAGAGGTTATTGTAATAGGTCAAATGAGATATAACGGGGGCCTGAACTAGGATGGTGGCCTTTTTAATGAAGAGAAGGGGATGAATGCGAGAACTCTTATGAAGGCACAATTAATTAAGACACTTAGAAATGTACTGGATGTGGGGGATAAAGGACAGGAAAGAGTTAAAGATGACTCTGATACTGTGAATCCTGGTGACCAGAAGGAGAGTGGAGACCTCAGCAAAAACAGGGAAGGTCACTGGAGAGGCAAGTTTAAGGTGAAAGATACTAAGTTCCCTTTTGGACACAGGATCATGGATTTAGAGCTATAAGAGACTACAAATCCCTCACCTTACAGAGAAGTAAATTGAGGTCCAGTGAGATTAAGTGACTTGCCCAAGGATATGTTGAATTTACGATGCCGAAGAGACAATGAAGTTGTGGTTGTCAGCAGGAAAATGGTGACACAGGGAGAGAGATTAGGGATGGGTACACAGATCTGGAAGTCATATGTACAGATAGGAACCCATGGCAGCTGACAGGAACCCCAACAGAGTATGAAGAAAATAGTCCACTGCCCTCCATAGAGGATATATTTAGAGGATGAAAGATGAATAATGTTCTTCTAGCAAAGGAAATCATGAAGGGAAAGTCATACAGGCACAAGGTGAACCAGAAGAAAACAATGTCATGGAAGCTTAGCAAGGACAGAATGTCCAGGAAGATTTTGATAAATAGTATGAAAAAGGGAATAAAATCAATGCTCATAAAGCAACATTTTGATTATTAACTACATATCCTTGGTACCTAGATATTGGAAAGGGAATGCCCTGCACAAAAAAAAAAAAAGACAAGGGACGTATGGTCACAGGAAAGGCATATTT